GCAGATCTGCCCTCGCAGAGGAGGGAGAGCTTGTACCTGAATAAAACTTGGTCTTAAAGGTGCCACTGGACTGTTTTGGGCCGGGGGGGGTGGGGCTCTGCAGCTTACCTGGCTGCTTCTTGCTCTGACTGAGGGCTGCTGGGAGCAGGGGGTGGGGCTTGTTTCATGTGCCCGCCCCCTGAGCTCTTTACTGCCGGAGCTCCACTCCTGTGCGCTCCTGCAGGAAATGACCCCTGTCGACCGCACGGTTATGCAGGGAGTGGTCCTCAGTTTCGTTTGCAAAGCAAACCCATGGCGGGTCATTCTGACAAACAGGTGCACACCCACACGAGCAGGATGCAGGCATGCTCACGGGGCTTCTGTGGCACGCAGGGCTGGCCACTGGTCCTTCTTCGCCGATGCTGCAGGATTCTATGTCCTGGCTGTAATCATGAGCTGTAACAGGTGGTCTGAATCTCCGATCATGCCCTTCTGTCTTGCCCTCAGGTGCTCCTCTGGTGAAGGCCCTTCCCGTCAACCCCACAGACCCAGCAGTGACGGGCCCTGATATCTTCGCCAAGCTGGTCCCGATGGCCGCCCACGAGGCATCTTCGCTGTACAGGCAAGTGGGTGTCGGGGTTTCTCCCGCCCGACCTCGACCGTTGCGTCTTTGCAAAGAGGGTGGGAGTGTTTTGTTTCCGCCTGCGAGCAAAATGAAATTGGCTGGCATCAGAAGGTGGGAGAAGGAGGGCTTCATTGGAAGGTCCATGGGTTTGGGGGAGGAGGTTTCTCCTGCGGGTCTGCTCCTAAGGAAGGGGGCTGGCTACTGGGACGTGGAGCATGTGTGTGAGTCAGTGAAGGCTGTGGTTCAGGCAATACAGCAACGCTCCCTGTAAGGTGTCTTGGGAGCATTAAAGTTGTGAGCGAGCGGTTTGGCTGTTGCATGAATTAGTTTACTCTGGAGCCATCCTTCCTGTGAGCCAGTTTGGTGTAGTGGTTAAGTGCGCGGAGTCTAATCTTGGAGAACCGGGTTTGATTCTCCACTCCTCCACTTGCACCTGGCTGGATGACCTTGGGCAAGCCTTAGTTCTGACAAGAGCTGTCCTTGAAAAAGATCAGTTTCTATCAAGAGTTCTCTCAGCCCCGCCTACCTCACAGGGTGTCTGTTGTGGGGAGGGGAAGGGAAGGGAAAGGAGCTTAGAGCCAGTTTGGTGTCCTGGTTAAGTGCGCGGACTCTAACCTGGGAGAACCGGGTTTGATTCCCCACTCCTCCGCTTGCAGCTGCTGGATGGCCTTGGGTAAGCCGTAGTTCTTTCAGAGCTGCCCTTAAAAAAGAGCAGTTTCTGTCGGAGCTGTCTCAGCACCGCCTACCTCACAGGGTGGCTGTTGTGGGGAGGGGGAGGGAAAGGAGTTTGTAAGCCGCTCTGAGACTCCCTTGGGTAGTGAAGGGCAGGGAATAAATCCAATCTCTTCTTCTTCCTGAGCTGAGACAAAAATGTGAGCTAGCTGTAAGAAGTCATGCCATAAAAACAGTGTGCTGTTATGTGTTTGGAGTGCGGGACGGAGCCCCTCTCCCAGGAGAGGGGTCCTGGCCAATCACCATACCTGCCTGCGGTGGAGAGGCCCCTCCCTGCCCACCCACTGTTGTAGCTCAGCCCCCCCTTCTCCTTTCTCTGCCCTAGCGAAGAGAAGGCCAAGCTGCTGAGAGAAGTGATGGCCAAGATCGAAGCCAAGAACGAAGTGCTGGAGTAAGTCTGCTTTTTGTTTCTGAATGGGGGGGGGAGGTGGC